CTTTTCTTAGATGATGTGGTTCTGTTGGCTTTGGCAGGTGGTGGCCTCCACCAGTTCACAGCCAAGTGTGAAGCTGCAGCTCCACACTCGGCTTAGTTATCTTACATTATGGGACTCTTTTGGGAGTAAGATGATGCCTCCAAGAACTTAAAACTCTGATGACTGCTATGGAAACACAGTCCCTGGGAAAAAATTCCTGTGGTGGTAAAAATGATCAAATCTACACATTTTTCAAGTGCTTGGTATAACTGGAGTGTTTTCTTTTCACAGGGGCAATCTTGACAAGGCGATCGAGATGTTCAACAAAGCAATTAACCTAGCGAAGTCGGAGATGGAGATGGCCCACTTGTACTCGTTATGTGACGCCGCCTACGCCCAGACAGAAGTGGCGAGGAAGTACGGGCTGAAACCTCCGACTCTGTAACCGTTTTGCCAATGGATCGCCAATCTCAGTCTTCATTGCTGAATCTAACTGTGTTAAAAGTGCAACTGTCTGACTTCACTTTGATTTGTTAAAAAATAAATACTGGATGATATGGGGGGGAATTTGAAAAAAAGGAAGAACCCTGAATATATACTGTTTACGTCACATTGAAGGGGATTATTTTCAAGGAAACCAGATTTGAGGCTATGATCCTGGTCTCTGGTAGACTCAGTGGTTTATCAGGATGTGGGGTGGCTGGGGTGGGGGGTGGATTTTAACCAACACCGCCCTTTATGCTGACACTTAATTCCACAATGGCGTCATTGTCAAACCTTTGCTTTTTATGGCTCAGAATGAAAATAAAGGTTGGCATTTATGGAGGGAAAGTGTAGATGAGTGAGACGTATACGTGTCAGAAGATGTAGAGAGAATTGAAATGTTCAGTCTGTTGAACCCACAAGGGTTTGGAGACACTTTTAAATCGACAGACAATACTGTGAGAGCTTTATAGTTCCAATGGACTGTTCACTTGTTACCTGATGCTGATCTAAAGTGTTTGTGTCCACCTACTCCCATATTGTAACATACAGTATCAGTTCTGAATACAAGATTAAAATTATAGTCAAATGTACAATGTCTGTATTGAAATGCTGGAGTTGATCCCAGGATACAAGCCTACAGAGTTTAGGCAAAGTTTTTTTTCTTTCGTTTTAAATGGTGGGATTGCCTGTTTGCTTTTTT